CATGTTACCTACTTGTGCTGGCCCTGTAAGCTACAGTATATTACAATAACTCGTTTTTATTATATGCCACTTTTTTTGGATCCAAATTATAAAAGTTTTTAATTCTTTGAAAAGTATGAGAAAAAAAAAACAAACTTAAAATGCGTTAGAGAATTTTTGTCGGAATTTTATTTGACAAAAAAAGTTTGTGATATAATTCCAGTTAAAAAGGTGACAAATCAAAAAAAATTTAAGTTATCATTTGACAATCAAGATGATGATTCTGGAAATGATAGTGTTAAAGTAATAAACTTAGATTTAAAAAAAGAAATTAGTGGTTATATAAAATTGTCAGTAAATGAGCAAAATGTTTTTATACTTTTGGCATCAAAATCAACATGTGTTTCCAATATTGTATTGTATTTCAACAATGATTTTATGTACACCTGCTACCAGTGCACCAAGTGAACGCCTATCTAATGATTAAACAATTTGTATGCAAAGCGAAACAGAATGACAACTGAATGTTTTCAAATGTTGATGTTTTTGTACAAAAATTTGGAATTTTGTAATTTAGTTTAAATTCATTAAATTTAATACTGAAGTTTTTTCTTGTAATAAGAATTTTTTAATTCATTATATTGTTCTTAAATAAATATTATTAAATTTAGTATTCAAACTCTTTTGTGTGAAACTGATTTTTTTTTTGTTACAAAAATGTAAAAAATTAATTTAGTTTTTTAAATTTAAAATGTGTTTAAAGGGATCCCTAAGTGCTATAAAGATATGATCTCATATGAAAGAGCATTAAAAAAAAAAATGTTTGATGTACATTATTTTTTCTAAAACGCAATAATGAACACACACTAACAAATTTAATTTTCAAAAAAACGCTTTTCTTTGATTAAAAAAAATGCGTCTTGTCCAAAGTTTATTGACTCTACTGCCTCAAAAAACTAACGTTAGTACGTCAAATTAAACAAAGTAGACAAAATGTCATTATTGCAAACTTATTAGTTGGTAATTAAATTTAAAAGTAAAGTCGTTTTTTTTCAACTAACACATAACTACTTACAAGAATAAGTTTTGTAGCATTATGTGAAAATATATTTGTATATTAAAATTTTTTTTATAATATTAATTTATATATTTGTGTTATAAGGGCAATTCCACGGCTAAAAATGAATAGAAGTCAAATTTTAAACTCTTTTTAGTCAGTTAAAAACAAATGAATATTAACTTAGACATAAGAAAGTTTATTTAAAATATTTCCTTAGTAAAAAAATAAATTTATTTCAGTAATTTTTATGGTTTCAAAAGTGACGGTTACTCTCATTTTTGCTTGATACAAAAAATAATGATTGTAAAATGTTTGAGTTGAATTAACATTTATGTTATATTGCTATATTTTTTTGGTTCAAATTGATAAGTTTGAATAGACATTTTATTAGAAATTAATCTAAGACAAGGCTCGAATTAATGCAAAAAAATCTAATCGCGAAAAAAATTTTTTTTTTTTTGCTCTCTCCTCCTCCCTCCCCCCCCTCTCTTATAGCTCGCGCCGATGTGCGGTAATGGGGGGAAAAAGTTATCGTCAATAAATCAAATAACATCGTCAAAAACTTAGATACCACGTTTTTTATAATGTCTTGTTTCTTGAATAAAGGACTAATAAAAGTTTAAATATAATTAAGTTTTTCATTTAAATGGTTGATGTTTTTATTCAATTTTTCTATTTCAAGTTTTCCAATAAAAGATAAAACAAAAAAATTTGGTTTAATAAATCGAATTATACTTCATGTTTAAAAACGTTAAAGTAAAAAAATTGCTGGTTTTTATTAGCATATTTATACTGTTTGAAAAAAAAAACTAATAAAAAAGAATTAACTAATAATATATTAATTAATAATTATATATTAATTCTTTTTTATTAGTTTTTTTTTTTCAAACAGTATAAAAATGCAAATAAAAGTCAGTAATTTTTCTGCTCTAACGTTTTTAAGCCTTATTTTAAACATGAAGTTTTGATAAACAAAGATAAAAACCAACTTTTCAACTTTTCGCTTTAACGACCTTGTAAAAATATTCCACACAGAGATTTAAAGTAATTTAAATTCAAAAATGTTTTACGTTGAAAGAAAATCTCCGCGCGAAAGAGCAAATCATCTATTCATCTATCTATTTAGAATAATAAATTTTGTGTGACGTTCTTTATGATAAAAACATTACTTTTAAGAATTGCTAAAAAAATTGCTAAGCTAGAAAAAAAGTAATTAATCAACCAAAAAAAAAACGAGTCGCAGAAAGATTTTTTTTAAGAGAAAACTAATCACAAAAGTGTGTGTTGCAATCGCGATCGCGATACGCTTAATACGAGCCCTGTAAGACTTTTTTATAAGTTCTAAACTATTTAAAACTATTACTTATAACTTTTTTTTAATGACGTCTTTCAATCGAATGCTATTATACTGTTTTTGCAAAACTAATTTAAAAAACTTGATTAAAACTTAACTATTTAATC